CAGGGAGCCCGATGCGGGACTCGATCCAGGGACTCCAGGATCATGACCTGAGCCGAAGGCAGTCGCTTAACCAACTGAGCCACCCAGGCGCCCAGCACTGGTCTATTCTTAATGCTTGACACCAAAGTTCCTAAAAAGAGCCAGGGGCTTTTGACTGACCCAAAACGCGGGGACCAGTACAATGTTGGCATTTGTCCTCTCTCTTGCCCATAACCTGGCTGGGTCTGCAGACTGATACCTGTGGTCCTGGACAGAATCCAAGAGGACCAGTCCGAACCCCCAACCTTTCGGAGAGGGAGGAATGGTGCTTCGCCCTTCCCCCGGTGACCCCAGCAGAGGAAGGTGCTGGAGGCAGCCCCTTCTCCAGCCTCCTCTGTTCTTCATTCTTGAGGGAGCCGATCTCCTCCTTGGGAGAAGGGGATCCGGGCTGCCTTGGCTGCTGGCCTTGAACAGCCTTCTAGAGAGGAAAGTGAACCAGGGTGCAAGGACCCCGGAATAAGTGTTCACGTGTGTGGGTTCTACAGATCTTGAGACGGGCCGCCCTTTGTCAGCTCAGCTCTGACTGGCACCAGTATCCATCAGGCTCCAGAGCTGCGAGTATCCTCTTCATCTCATGGCCTTGTCAGACTTTACTGCCTCCTGGACGGATGGCCTGCCACCCATAGCTCGTGCCCCTGGTACGCCCTGTGGTGTCCATTGGGGTCATTGTATTCGATCACCCTTACTGTTTTTCCTTGTGTCTTCCACAGGCCTTATTTTGAACTCAAGGCCAAGTACTACGTGCAGCTTGAGGTACGTGTGGCCTTCTGTGGCTTTGCTGTTGGTGGGATTTTCCTGCAAAGTCCCACTTTATGTGGTAGCGGGCTTGCACATGGCATATTTGCTACAAGAGGAGAATGGAGAGAGAAACACATTCTTTATTGAGTTTTCAGGCCTCAAAATGGTCTTGGTTGGGTCTTCAGTGGTCTCTGCAGTGTTCAGTCTGCCGTTCAGCCCCTTTCTGTACTGTACTGGGGCAGTGGTTCTCGGGGGTTCCTAAGACCAGCATCAGCATCGCCTAGGAAGTGCAGATTCCCAAGTCCCCTCCCCTCCACCCCAGATCTACTGAATTAGAAACTGCAGGTGTGAGCCCAGCCATCTGTTTTCAAGAGGCCCCCAGGGGATTCTGATGCACCGTCAAGTTTGAGAACCACAGTACAAGGGACCAAATGGCTAGAAAGTGGGACTTGTTTGTGAGTTTGACACCCATTCTTGTTTCTCTAGGATGGGGTTTGTTCTGCCAGTGCTAGTTTCTGGTTGGTAGCTTGAGTTTGTCACCTGGATGGGAGTTGGGGCTGGTGGGGGCTGCTTTTTTTATCTGGTGTGTGGATAGCTGGATAAGAGAAATCAGGCCATCAGGCATGTCTCGGGGAAGTCTTTGGAGTGGAGTGATGGGCAGAAACTGTGCTTGGACTTGTCATTCAAAAGCCTTGCAAGGCCAGTAGGGGTTACCTCCACTTACTGGGCCTCTCGTTCTCCTGACCAGCAACTGAAGAAGACCGTGGATGACCTGCAGGCCAAACTGGCCCTGGCGAAAGGCGAGTACAAGACGGCCCTGAAGAACCTGGAGATGATCTCGGACGAGATCCACGAGCGGCGACGCTCCAGTGCCATGGGGCCTCGGGGCTGCGGCGTGGGGGCTGAGGGCAGCGGCACGTCTGTGGAGGACCTGTCAGGGAGCAAGCCTGAGCCAGATGCCGTTTCTGGTGAGTTCTGGGGGTTGGTGTGCAAGTGGGAGACGACGCTTGTGTGCTCTGCTTCCAGGGCTGTCTCGCCATCATGGAAGGGTCTCAGAGTTGGGCAGGCCAGATAGGTGGCTGTTTCTCATGGCTTCCCACATTTTGTGGAACACTGTATTCATCAAGGTGCTACTTGAGTGTTCCTCAGAGTCAGGATTCTGTGGTGGGTGAGTTTGGAAAATGTTACACTTCCATCCTGGCATTCAGAGTACATATGAGAACATTCAGGGCTCTGAGAAGTACTGCAGGAACGGAGAGTTGCCTAAGAATAGGGACTGTGCACACAGATTTGATTCAAATCCTGGCTCCCCCATAGTACATGATGTGGGCAAGGGCTCAACTCTGTTTCTTCACCTGTAAAGTGGGGAGTATGAGCACCTAATATCCACTGTGTAGAGGGGAGGTTGGGATTAAATGAAATAATGGCAGGCACCCAGAAGGTCTGAAAATAGTGGCTCTCTCTGGTATCTAACTGTGGAGACCTTTTTTCCCAGGGCCATCCCTTGGGAAACGGATATGTTTGCTGTGCCCCCCCCCCGCCTTTATCATTTTATTTTTTTCATCATGATAAGTATACTCTTTAATTCCCATCCCCTATCTCCTCCATCCCCCCCACTCCCCTCCCCGCTGGTAACCATCAGTTCTCTGTAGTTAAGTCTGTTTCTTGGGGGGGGTTTTTTTTTTTTCCCTTTGCTCATTTGTTTCTTAAATTCCACATGAGTGAAATCATATGGTATTTGTCTTTCTCTGACTTATTTTGCTTAGCATAATACTCTCTAGCTCCATCCACGTCATTGCCAATGGCAAGATTTCATTCTTTTTGATGGCTGCATAATATTCCATCATATATATAATATCTCACATCATCTTTATCCATTCATCCATTGGTGGACACTTGGGCTGCTTCCATATCTTGGCTGTTGTAAATAATGCTGCTATAAACATAGGGGTGCATGTGTCCCTTTGAATTAGTGTTTTTGTGTTTTGGGAGATAAATACCCAGTAGTAGGATTCTTGGATCCTAGGGTAGTTCTATTTTTAACTTTTTGAGGAACCTCCATACTGTTTTCCACAGTGGCTGCACCAGTTTGCATTACCACCAACAGTGCACAAGTGCTCCTTTTTTTCCACGTCCTCGACAACACTTGTTTTTTGTGTTTTTGATTTTAGCCATTCTGACAGGCGTGAGATGATATCTCATTGCGGTTTTCATTCATATTTCCCTGATGATGAGTGACGTTGAGCATCTTTTCATGTGTCTGTTGGCCATCTGTTAATGTCTTTGGAGAAATGTCTTTGCATCTCTTTGACCCATTTTTAATTGGACTATTTGTTTTTGTGTTGACTTGTATAAATTCTTTATATATTTTGGATGCTAACCCTTAATTGGATATTTCATTTGCAAATATCTTCTCCCATTCTGTAGGTTGCCTTTTAGTTTTGTTGATTTGTTTCCTTCACTGGGCAGAAGCTTATTTTGATGTAGTCCCAATAGTTTATTGCTTTGGTTTTCTTTGCCTCAGGAGACCTATCTTGAAAAATGCTGCTATAATCGATGTCAGAGAATTACTGCCTGTGCTCTCATCTAGGATTTTTATGGTTTCAGGTCTCACATTTAGGTCTTTAATCCATTTTGAGTTTTTCTTTGTGTATGGTGAAAGAAAATGGTCCAGTTTTCCCTTTAGGTTAATCAAAACCTTTCCAGCACTGTCTTTGCACACTTCCTTTATTCCCTTTTCTGTGGAATAATCCCTGTTGGTGCTCTCCCAAGGTCCTTCCTCCGGAGTTTTGAAATTCACTCAACAAATGTTTGCGTGCCAGGCCCAAAGTAAAGGAAAGGAAGCTAAAATTTGATTGTCAGTAATGTGTGAGGTACTCTAATACCCATCCTCTCATATGGAGAGGAACATGAAGCTCAGAGAGGTTAAGTAACCTGACCAAGGCTACACAGAAAGTAGTGGAGACAGGATCTGAATTCAGATATGAGCCCATTTCCTGTCTTCAACATTACAGTACTTTTCACTTACGGTAGTCCTCTAGGGGACGCTACCAAGGCTGTTGTAAAGATGAGGGAGGAGGGAAGGAGAGTAGAATAGGGAAGGTCTAATAAGCAGTCTTGTGTGCAGGCTGAGGCGGGGGAATAGTTAAAGTGGCTTCCAAACCACAAGAATGACCTGTCCTCTGGGCCTTGGTTATTCTGATCCACAAGCTAAGAGTATTGTAAAGGAATTTTGTCCTTTTGCAGCAAATGGTGTGTCTTTTATGTGATCGAAAGTTACCTGGAGATCACAGAATGCCAACAGATACTGCACACAGGACTGTTTCTTCTAGCAGCTCCTGCTTCTACTGCATGGAAGCAGCTGTACATCTGCCTGGCTTTGTTCCGTGTGCATCACAAAGGGCCACTCTCTTCCTTTGTACGAGTGGATCTGCCTGGGGGCCTGGGGTGCAGAAAAGCCCCTGACCTGGGGCGGATTCATCCTCCACCTTTAGGTAGTCGACACTGCCTTCTGGGGCAGGAGTTAGAAAGTTATCGAAAGGACACTGAAAATCCATGGGACCCACTGCTTCCCTTCAGGTTGCTGGCTGCTCTGGCCATGCAGGCTTGGGAGGGTCAGAGTCCTTGTATCGGGTGCACACGGTGGCAAGGAGTCTGCAGTCCCCAGGCCGTGTCCGGCTGCTGGCCAGCAGCGCACACTTCTGGAGGGGCCTAAGGGACGGGGGGCTGCTCCCCGTCAGAAGCTCTGACCGGTGTTCTCTCTCCTCCTAGTGGCCTCCGAGGCCTTTGAAGACGACAACTGCAGCAACTTCGTGTCTGAAGACGACTCGGAAACCCAGTCGGTGTCCAGCTTTAGTTCGGGGCCAACGAGCCCGTCCGAGATGCCTGACCAGTTCCCCGCAGCTGTGAGGCCTGGCAGCCTGGACCTGCCTAGCCCCGTGTCTCTGTCGGAGTTTGGGCTGATGTTCCCGGTACTGGGCCCTCGCAGTGAATGCAGTGGAGCCTCCTCCCCCGAATGTGAGGTAGAACGAGGTGAGTTCCAGCCCTCTCACCAGTAGTGCCTGGGCCAGATGACTCACGGCACATCCGACATACAGCCGGAGCTCTGCGCCGTTCTAGACGTTCGCCGGGTCTCGGCACCCCCGGGGCTGCATCACTGGGCCTCTGTGCACGTGCGGTCGGTGTTGATCACGGAGACGCCGGCTGCTGTGCACGGGGCTCCTGGCTCCGCTCCCGAATGCATCTTCAAAGGGCAGCTTGGCTTCTGGGTCTTTCATCACCAGCAGTCCTCTCGACAAGCACGTGCTGGAGAGGCTGGCTTCCCGGCTGTGAGGGCAGGAGCAGTCCTCTCTACAGATGAGGAATACATAAAAGGCCTCGGGCAGTAGGAGCAGTGTGTCCTCACGTGCTGGAGCAGGCTCTGTGACAGGCACGGTCGGGCAACACGGGGAGCTTCTGGAGGCCTGCGCTGGCTTGGGGGCCCAGGGACTCACTTAATGATCTTTACGTTTCTCTAGGAGACAGGGCAGAAGGGGCAGAGAATAAAACGAGTGACAAAGCCAACAACAACCGAGGCCTCGGCAGCGGCGGCAGCAAGAGCCAGAGTAGCACCGCCCGCGAGGGCCAGGCCCTGGAGAACAGGATGAAGCAGCTCTCCCTGCAGTGCTCAAAGGGAAGAGACGGGGTTATTGCTGACATACAGATGGTGCAGATTGGCTGATCCCTGCAAAGCCCTGGCCCAAGTGCAGAGCAGTATTTATACACGAAGCTGTATGGAGAACATTGTGCCAATAATCATTTACTGTATGCCAAATCTTAAGCGTTTACTCTAAACTGCACTAATGACGTTGTGACCTTGAGGGCTGAAGAGCTTTCTTCTGGGAAAGAGCTCGTGGGCTGGTTTGTTTTTCAGAGCAGAGGCGTTGTTGGAGTGGGCTGTGACCAGGGTCACAGCCTTTGTGGAATATTCCCCATAACAGTGTTATGGAAGCAATAACTAGTTCCTGTCAAAGAACCCGAGCCAAGAAAGGGGCTGGGAAGCTGAGCCAAACGGGGGTCAACAGCTCGCTTCCCTTTCCCTTCTCTTAACCTCAATTTGGGAACATGGAGATGGTGTCTCCTTTATAGCCCAGGGGATCGACATGAAAAAACACAAGAACAAACTCAAATATTCAGAACACACCTATTTGACCCAGCGAAGGCTTTAAAAAAAAAAAAAAAAATCCAAGAACACAGTTCATTTTCATCACCTCTGGTATTCAGAAGGGGCTTTTAAAAAAAGCCTGTATGCTGGGATACCCATTAGAACCATTTTCTATAAAGGTTGCCATGAACTGCACTTTTTGGGGTGGGAAAGGTGAATGCCAACGTGGGGATGGGAGGGATGGAGGGTAGCAGGGACATACCACAGAAGGTGGATTTATGGCTGTGGGGGAGGAGAGTCTGTAGCATAAACCTTATCCCACCAGCCACGGGATTTAAGAATTAAAAGAAGTGCATGTGAAGAATGGTTGCCATTGTTCTATCTAGATTGACAAGGTGTCAATTTCTCTGTAGGTTGTGACTTTAAAAATAAATTATTTAAGGGTTATGCTGCATTAGTATTTCTTAGAGGGAATTGTTCCTTAAAGCTAGGAAAGGGAGTAGGCATGTGTTGGCACAGGCTGTTAAATAGAAGCAATGAAGTCTGTTATGCTAATAGTAGTACGTGTTAAGATTGCTTTTCTTTAACGTTTTCATGGTTACACATATTTAGAGCACCGTATTTTATTTGTCCTTTTTTGTTAAGAAAATTTAGCATTTCTAAAAGAAAAGCAACCCCATTTCATATTGTCTGTTAATTCCGACACAGCTTGTATATTTTAGTCATTTGTAAATCTCTTCATACTGTAGTGTTTTCTCCTTTTTTAAGGACTGATACAGTATCCTAATTACAAGGTTATTTTGTACTTGTCTTAATTCCTTGAGTGTAATAAAAATGGCTTAAGAAAATGTTTACCTCTGTGTGTCTTCAAATAAGAAACCCTGATGTTGCCTACATCTTCCATTCTAGGCAACCTTCTTGCCACAAGGAAGAGCATGGCATGCAGTGGTCATCTGTTCTAACTTCCAGTTAAGGTCCTGGATCCCAGTAATTTAAGCCCCAAATGACCAGAGTTGAGTTAGAATTCTGCTGCCGCCACTAACACTGAGCAGTAAGGAGACACAGCATGAGGAAAATGAAGACAAGGTGATTATGTCGGAGGAGTGTTTCCCAACCTCCGCTGCACCGGAATCTCCGGGGAAGCTTGCTTGAAGAATGCGGCTGTTCTCTGGTCCTAGAGCCTGAGATCATTTGGGGTACACTTGAGGTACTAAACTTTTAAGCTCCCCCAGGTGATTCTAATGTGCATCTGACTGACATTCAGACTGTTGTTTTCTATCTGTAGCACCGTATCTGGAGCTCTGTTGTAACAGAATTCAATCTTAAACTGTTCATACACAGGTCTCCTTTGGGTTTTTGAGGGCAGGAATTAGGTCTTACTTGTTTGCATCCTGTATAGTATCTTTAACATAAAAGGTTCCAATCATGTGTTTAAATTTTTCTTTAAAGGGCCACAGAAAATCCACCTAAAAGAGAAAGCACTAAATACCGAAGTGGGATCGCTATCCTGAATATGAAACAGATTTGCTGAAGCCTAATTGTCATGTAAATAATGAGTTCTTTTAGATGGAACATACTAGATGAAGCCCTTTAATAATCTCTCTAGGTTAAACTATGCAGTTTCCATAAGTATAAAGATTTTTATTTCAAATAAAGGTAGTAGAAATACAAAAGTTGTGGTAATTATAAAGTAGAGACAATGAAAAATTCCACCTTATTTTTGGACGTTTAAAATCCTGAGCATCATTCTGCCCTCATGGATTTCTATGTAAACTAGGAATTTATACATGGCAGTAGTCTCTTGGCAGTTTCTCCAAATACAACCCCAATTACATCTGAAAATTTAATATATGGTATTTTTTTTTTCAGTGTTACCAGAAGAGCAATTTTTAAAAGACTAAACAAACGAAACTCTAATGTCTTTCTTCAGTGTCTCAGATTACTACCTTCATTAAGCCTGATAAAAAATAAGAATTGCAATAGTGAATATATCTCAGTTCTCTTTACATGAGTTAATGGGAGACAGGTACCTAAGTTCAACAACCTTCATTGTTAACTAAGTTAAAATATTTCTTAAAGCTTTATTTTATAACATCTGGGCAGCAAACATTAAAAATCATAACACAATTAAAATCTGTTATGGTGACATGATTCATTTGGTAATTAGCTAGCTGCCCAAGCGTACAGTAGAGTCACAACACAAGCAGGTTTAACTTACAACATGCTCTGCCAAAAGACAAATATAAATACTTCAGAATATTATACCAGCCTACTGTTGCACCCAGTGAGTGGATGAGTCATGTCCCCTATCTGGTCTCTATTCTCTTTTAGCAAAGGCTTTGTACTGAGCCTCGCCTTTAATCCTCCACAGTCTGTTTATACAGTGTGGCCCCTCAATGCACACCAACTCCTTATACACACAAAACTGTGTAAATAGTACTTCTGAGTGATTTAGGGTAATTCTGACTATATACACTTCTAAACACTCTGACTTGAGCACCAGATCCCACTGTAACCTTTTTAGAGATTTAATTCTGTTTAGGGTCCTGAGGATTTCCATCCTCATTCGAAGAGCTGATGTCTGGTAAGTAGAGAATCCAGTAAATGCTTGAAAGCTGCATCACTGAAGTTGTGTTGTCTTGATGGGGATAATACTATTGAAGTCCAAGAAAAAAGGTCCTTCTTGTTTAGGCAAAAAAGTACTAGGAATGATATTGTAGATCCCCGCAGGTATATTTTCTAATTCCAGGTAGCAAAACCCACACCTACATGCAGGAAAAATGAGAACAAAGTTTACAAAAAATGATGCCACAAAAAGTAAAGTATAAATTAGATGTAGTCAAAATGCTAACATTACCTATAGTCACCGCTAGACTTCCTCTGAAAGCCATGGGGACCGGGATCTCCCACCGTGGACACTGTTACAACCTCAAATCCAACACTATATTGCCTAACAATAAAAAAAAAAACAAAAAAAAAAACCAATTACTGTTGTTATTAAGTAGTCTCAAAAGTGCAGTCTGTAAAGTGCAGATACTCTATTAAATCAAGTATATTGCTTTCTAAAGCTTTAGGAGGAAACCACTCTGAAACACATGCATATACTATTTTTACTCTTAATTATACAAGATCTACCATTTATATTTTTAAATTGAAGCTATGAAGAAGATTTAGTACTAAACTTAAACTATTTTTACCACAGGCTCTCAGAGAATACTGTTACATTTAAATGATAAAATACTGTCTTTGCAAAATAAGTGGAAGGAGAAAGCCCTGAAATAAAATCTGAATTTACAGAAGTAATTAGCATATGGCAGACATGACATTCCAAATTAGTAGGGAAAGGATTATTTAGATGGTGATGAGGTGACAAATTTAGGAAAAAGAACTTACACTGTATTCACACCAAATATAAAAATACATTCCATATAGATATAAAAAGTAAACCACAGAAGAACTAGAAAAAAATATGGGGGCGCCTGGGTGGCTCAGTTGGTTGAGCGACTGCCTTCGGCTCAGGTCATGATCCTGGAATCCCTGGATCGAGTCCCGCATGGGGCTCCCTGCTCGGCAGGGATTTTGCTTCTCCCTCTGACCCTCCCGACCCTCCCCCCTCTCATGTGCTCTCTCTCAGTCTCTCTCTCTCAAATAAATAAAATCTTAAAAAAAAAAATATGGTACAAATTTGATATTGGGGTGAGATTTCCTGCCCACAGCAAAATAAATCTGAAAAGACAGATTTGATTACTTTAAAATGAAAATTTTTCTCTATGTGGGGAAAAAAAATTGATGATCTGGGAAAAATACTTGCAAATGTGTGATACAGATCCCTATTCATGCTTACAGTTAAGAAAACCATGACAATTCCAAGAGAAAAATGGGCAAAAGACATGAATAGGCAAAGCAAAAGCTACACATTGTCAAACACTTTTACATCAAATATTTCCATCTACGAATTAAATACAAAAACCAACTAGATACCTTATTTCACCTATCAAACTGTAGAAAACTAGCTTAACCGTATCTAAAGGATTATTAGTTTTTGAAATAGTTTGTAAAGGGGCAAAATTAAGTCTAGTTTTATTTAAAAGTACTATTTTTATTGTTTTTTAAACATTTTTAAGTTGAGAAAAAGAACACCATGTACACAGAACATACAGCCTACATAACCTGTAAAGTGAACACATGGGTTGTCACTACCTAGATCAACACAAAAGTCCCTGTACGTGCCTTTCTTGTTAGAGTTCCCGTCCCCACAGAGCTAACATTTTTTTCTTGCCTTTCTTTAAAAAGTGTGTTGACATACAATGTTAGTTTCAGATGTACAACCATGATACGACAGTTCTCTACGTTATGCTCACCACAGTGAGTGCACCCACCGTACGTTGCAACAATATTATTGACTATATTTTCTGTTGTACTTTTCATCCTTCTGACTTAATTCACAACTGGAAGTTTGTACCTCTTAATCCCCTTCACCTATTTCACCCACTTCCCAAACCCCTCCCCTACTTTCTTGCTTTTAGATAGTCTGACAACCTAAGCATGCATCTTTAAATAATAGTTTCATTTTGCCTGCTCCTCACTTCATATAAATGGAATCACACAGTTGATGTTCTATTATGTATGGCTTCTGCTCAGCATTAAGACTTATCCATCATGTTCTGGGTAGCTGTAATTTACTTTCATTGTTATGCAGGACTCTATGACTATTTTATAATCTTCAATGCCACTGATGAACAGTTGGGTTGTTACAAAGGTTTGGCTCTTACAATGGTTTATTAGCCATTTTGGATTGTTCCTCTTATGACATGCCTATCCAAGCTTTTATTTTTTGAATGGTGGACTCTCTTTTTTAATAACTAATGTAGCATATTTACAAACCTTTCTATGTGCTTTGTGTCTTAAACTTTTCTTTATCCTGAAGTCATTAAGATATTTCTTTTATTAGTAACCCAACTGCAAAAGTTTTTTAGATTTGATGTGAGACAGCGGTCTAATTACCTTTTTGGCTCATGGATACTCAATTATTCCAGCACATTTATTCAACAGATTATCCTTTCCCCGCTCCTCTGCAATGCCATCTTTTTCATTAATCAAGTGCCTGTATATGCATAGGTCTGTTTCAAAACCCTATTCTGGGGGCGCCTGGGTGGCTGTTGTTAAGCGTCTGCCTTCAGCTCGGGTCATGATCCCAGGGTCCTGGGATCGAGTCCCGCATCGGGCTCCCTGCTCGGCGGGAAGCCTGCTTCTCCCTCTCCCACTCTCCCTGCTTGTGTTCCCTCTCCCGCTGTGTCTCTCTCTGCCAAATAAATAAATCTTAAAAAAAAAAAACCACCCTATTCTGTTCCATTAATCTCATTTTTAATATGGTATTAATTTAAGAAAGTTACTTAATCACAAACCTTGGTCCTCTTAGCTCAATCAGTAATGGCCCGGTCTTTTCTATATGGAATTGGTAGATGGGGTTATTTTTGTGAGTTTCTTGGAAATTTCCACATCCTCCAGCACTCTGGCCACTCCACTTTCCATTAATCTTTAATAAAACAAAGTTTTTGTATTAACAAAACTTCCCATTCTCCAATTCTACTTTAAAGACTTTAAAAAGGGAATGGTGTCACCAAGGTGGCAACAGGTTCCTCCTGCTTTGCTCCCGTTCACAAGGACAACTATAACAGCTATTCCAGAAGAGGACAGCACTGAGAAAATCCTAAACATGGGGGTGAGGCAGAAGCACCCTCCTGCACCACAGAGACCAAGACAGATTGCATGAGAAGGACAAGAAAAGCAGCTACGTGTTGACCGCACTGTCTCCAGGCCAGCAAAGCACCATGTAGAGATGTCTCCC